GGCATCGAGGAGCGCGCGCTGGGGCTCGCCGTGAGGCGCGGCGCGGGCCTCACGGCGCGGCGCGCCCCGCAGGTACGTGCTGTGCGAGGTGCTGGTGGAGGAGCCGCGCGGCCGGCAGGGCATCGAGGAGCGCGCGCTGGGGCTCGCCGTGAGGGACGCCGTGGCCCGCGCGCACGGCGACTTCGGCCTGGCCTGTTGCTGCGTCTCCTTCGCAGGTGCCGCCGCGGCGGGGCGGGGGGCGGGCGGCGCGGCGCGGGGCTGAGCGCGCCGCGTGTCCCCGCAGTGAAGTACCTGAACGCGTACACGGGCGCGGCGCTGCTGCGCTGCCGCCGGGACGCGCACCGGCTGCTCTGCGCGGCGCTGCCGCTCGTGCGGCTGCTGGAGAGCCGCGGACAGCGCTACCCGTGCGCGCTGCGCACGCTGCACCTCGGAGGTGAGCGGCGCGGGAACGCCCTGCCCTTCGCATTGCGGGGTGGGAACGGGCTGCGAGGACCGAGCTACGGCCTCACACGCATGTGCCCTCTTTGCAAGGTCTCTCTCGTGAAACTTTGCCACCTGTACTGAAAAAGGATCATTCTGCCACCTGAAAACTCAGGGGAGGGAAGGGACTTCAAAATGCTGTAGCTACCCCTTCTGTTAATGAGGGTGGTGCTTGTGGCACTAATTACTTGTGGTACTAATTACTTGTGGTTTTCTGTGGAGAGGGAGAGAAAGAGTACCTCTGGACCAAACCTTTGAAGTAATTGCTTATCTTTGTAGACATTACACGCTTTGCATCTCTCCCAGGTACTATAAGATCCTGTCAGAAGTTTCTAATTAAGTATAATAGGAGACAGCTGCTCACGCTGCTGCAGAACTGCACCAACGAAGGTGAGTTGCTCCAGCTGCTTCCCTTGGGAACAGCCTCAATGCCGAGGGGGTGCTGGGCTCCCTGGTGCTTGAGCTGATGTCTCCCTAGCAGTGTAAGATCTGAGTGTAAATGAAGATTAGAGATTGATGGTTTTACCCCTTTTTTGCAGAGGAAAGACGGGCCATTCAGCAGTCAGTGCTGAGCTGTTCTCTTACCGAAGAGCCGTCCCTCAGTGGAGAGGAGGAAGGTGATGATGATGACGACGACCCAGAGACAGACTGAATATTGGTTATTGCTGCTCACCTCTGTCAGGGAGTTGCATACTCGAGAGGTTAGAGCTGAAACAGGGACAACTGCTGTTCCTGGCCCCTGTAAAACTTGTTCCCCTAGCCCCTCTGTTTAAATAAACTCTTTGTTAAATATGAGTATGTGGCTATTTGACTACAGGAATCAAGGCCCCCTGTGCTGCCCCGAGTTCAGCACCTCAGGGTAACGTTCCTGCTGAGAAAGCAGTGAGGGTTTAGGTAACTGGTCTAACAAGAGCTCTTCTTGAGAAGAGGAAGAGCTTTAATATGTTTTTTGACCTTGTCTTAAAGTAGAGAGATACTGTTTTGCCTCACAAAAGCATCACCCTCCATCTTCAGGATACAGCTGCAGGAGCAGCTAATACCGAGCTCTAAGTCTGAAACCCATCCACCATGTTACAAAACTCATAGGTAAAGATACTGCTTAGATATTTATTAAGTTTACACCAATCAGTTACAGGAAAGTAGTGCTGCTGGTAGCATCTCTTGAATTCATAGGAAACCAAGATCCAACTTAAAAATGCTGGCTCAGGGAGCTGGCTCCCTGTACCAGGGACAGTCCTTCTTGCTGGCATTACTTCCCTGACTTGCTCCAGTGCTGCGCGAGGTGGAGGTGAGTTGTACCAGCTCAAACTACTCTGCTTCTCTTGCCAATGCAAAGAAAAGTTTGCTACAACGGTGAAGAGAGAGTAGAACACAACAGATACAGGTTAGGCAGTGAGTAGTTGCTCGTGTTCCATGGTATAAGGAACAGAAAATGGCTATTACAAGAAAGAGAAAAAAAAGAAGTATTGTGGACACCATTAACTGCATACTTGAATCCTTCTTGCTTAAATTTCTCTTCTACTCTTGCCAGTATCTTTTTTTCCTATGCCTTTAAAGCATTAACACCAACCTGTGTTACTGTTTTGGGGCATCTTGTAGGTTGTTTGTACTGTCTTGAGAAGCTGTCCTGTCTTTCCCTGAGTGTTGGTAGTTGTAAGTGTGAAATTAAGCTGCTTTCAAAGAACATTTGTGTTTCTTCTATCAGTGTATGCCTGGGGTAGCTGAAGTTCTATTTACCTCCACTCTCCCCCTCTCTTTCTAGTTTACAGCCCCATACTGAGTTTTGTGGTGTGTCCTAGCAGGTCACAGCTTCAAGGCAACGAACTGTTTGAAGCCTTTAGAAGTGTAAGTAGGTCCTTCAAACCAAGTGTCAGTGCAGGTGGATCTGAAGGTAAGGAGACAAACCTCAGTCTCACACTTCATACTGGCTCCTTGGCAGGAAGGATGACATTAGGAAGGAAGAATTTGAATGTCTGTGAGGGAAGTGATTATTAGGCTTCAAGTTGATGAGAGAGTTTGTTATAGCAGTACTGGAAATATGTGCATACAATTTATTGCAACTGTTGCCCTTCACATTATTCAACAAAATCCACACCACTTAACTCATTAGCTTCAAATCACAAGCAGTGCAAACTGAGAGCACCCAAAAAAAGAGAAGGGCTCCAGAAGAGACATGTTGATAGCCTGAAGTGCTTAGTGCTGACCAAGTTACAACTCAGAAGAAAGCAGAGAGGCTCTTATCCCACTGCCAGGAATCCTAGTTCCTCGCTGCAGGGATAAGAGCTACAGCCATCAATTGTTCTTCCAATTCAACAGCAGCCAGTGTCAAAATATCATCTTAGCTACCAAGAGCCCGAGGTGGAGTGTTTATTCCAGATGATAACAAGTTGCAAAGAACTTGTAGCCTAATGTTAACCAAAAAAAAAAGGGGGAAAGAAAAAAAGGCAATCTCACTCACATTGAAACAGTAGTTGAACAACTGAAATAAGCCAGGAGGTTTCTTCTACCACTAGTGCCAAATTGCATTTTGAAATACCCAAATTCAGCAAGAGTCACTTCAAAACTAAATAGCCCAGTTCTGCTTTACACTCACCTCAGCTTTAAATCTTTCAAAGCCCAGAGAACAGGAGGAATTCTTGCTCTTTAGGAAAAGAACAGCCAGAGCAGCTAACACACTAAAACCAGGAAGCTCTTGTGTCCATTTCCAGTGCAGTGGAAAGCACGGTTTCTAAAGCCAGCAGTGTAAGAGCTTTACTGAAACAGTTCTACTGCCACAGTTAGATGGACTTCTCACCATGAACACTTCTAAGTAAAAGCTCTCTGCCTCTTCACTTAAGCAATACTGCAGTCTCTGACAGTGCCAGGCAGCTGTACAGACGTTTACATTGCGTATTAAGCCAGAAAAACTGACTGAGCACAGACCAGAAGCCTCCACTGAAGGTTCTCCAGGTTGTTTCTTTCAAATTTTTGTTTCAGTACAAACCAATAGAGTTAGCTGGAATAAAAACATCTTTGACATATACTCCCATAGTTTCCTCCTGAATATCCTAGAAGCCCTGGAAACACAGATTTAGTCTGTTCAAATTTAAATACTTAAACTATAGCAGCAAAAACAAAGCAAAAATGAAAAGAAAACCCAGAGAGGGAACTTCTCTTGAATAGCAGAATCACTTTGTGTGAACAACAGAGGTGCTGAACAGCAGCTTCTGCTTCTGTTTCTTTCTTTTCTTGCCTCCTTTTTCCTCTGTAAAGAAAAAAAGATACTGTCATTCATTTCCTGTGCAATATTCCTGTTCCATGAGAAGATAAATGGTCTTCCCTAGCCAAAATCCCTTCTCCAGGGCCGTGATACTTCCTGTCCAACTCACTGAGCACCAGATAGCTTTAAATAAACAGCAGGGGAACAAAAAGAAGTTACAGCCGACAAATCAAGGGAGACTCCATCCTTATTGTCACTGGTCACATTTTGAGCTCCCAAGACCCCTCTCTCGTTGACTAGAGAGGGCAGATTAAGCCGGATTAGTTCCCACCATTTGCAGTAGCTCTGAACACATCTAAGCTGTTAGGACGTGGCCAGCACAGTGGCAGAACTTTCATCCTTGTCGTCCATGAAATGCTACAGCTGAGGAGGACTTCTTGCTTTCGCTGTCAGTTCCCCACTATTCAGTACATAACCCCAAAGCTGTAAACATCAGACCTGAGCTTTAGAAGTTAGTTTAACCAGTTAATACCATGCTTGAGATTAAAGTGACTACTGGCCAAAAGCCGTCTTTGTCTTATGAGGAGTCTTTGCTAGCTGGAGATGTCAGCTCCCAGCAAGGAAAGAACCGCTTTCAGCTAACAGAAGCCCCGATCTAACTGACACAAAGCACTTCACCATCTGACATTGCCCAGAACTGCTCTCTAGGCCATTTTGCCTCCCCCCAAAATGCTTTCACTTTTTCCAGAAGTGAAATATTTGTTTTCCTGCCTTCCCTTTTACCTGATAAAGGATCAGGTGCGGACGGTTTGTCCAGTTTCAGGAGGGCTGCCTCAATGGCTTGGCTGAAGGAATTCTGGAAGCTGGGCACAGGTATGCGGTCAGAGTTGTCACTTTCTCCATCACTATCCCCTGGCACAGGGAGTGCCAGGGTGTTCTCATCTGCAAGAGAGGGAAGGCTCTTGAGAGACCAGAGGGCTGCACACAGCCTTTGTGGCGCAAATACCTCTCCACATTCCAGATGTTTCTTGCTGGTGGTTATTGTTTTTTCCCCCTCCAAGATTTCCAAAATTTAGATACCCATTTAGATGCAAAAAAAATACCCGAAGTAGTAAACCCAAACTTATTTACCTCTTGTCTTTGGACCAGGTTTAGACCATGTTTCTGGTTTTGCTTTTCCAACTCTCAACATCTATAAATAAACAAAAAAACATTCTAACATCTGATCAAGCTCACGTACCTCCTCCCAAATTGCAAGAAAATATAGAACACACTTTAGAGTGCTCCAATACTGTGTTGCCTCTGTAAAATTCACCCTGCATTGCTTTTGCAGAGGAGGCAATTGTGTTCTCAGACTTCTGCCCAAATAAGATGCAAGGAATTCTGCAGAGATTGCTCTGCTGCATGGCTTACCTGGGCAAAGGAAGGGAAGGGAGAGTCTTCTTCTAAACTCCCGCACAGCAATGGACTGACCTGGCTGGCAGCAGGTGACAGAGGAGTTGGAACAGACTCTACAGCAAAAAGAATAAGCGAGTTGGAACCTGTTTCCTTGACGAACGGATCTGTTAAACAGCTTAAGATGAAACATAACCAGGAGTTTTATTATATTATATAACTGACCATTTTTAATCTCATCTGTTCCACCCATCAGTCACACTAAGGGACCTCTCTTAGGTGTCTCCTTAATGTTTTTATTTAAGGAGTATTGGTTTTCTTTTCCCCTCCCTCAAAAAAAAATTATAATCTCTGAATGTTTCATCAGTTGCAGGATATTTTCCCCCACCCCATCCCCCTCTATTTTTTTCCCCTTCTTTTGTAATGTATCTTTGCCTGGGCAAAGATTTAAATGATGTACCACACCTGTGTAGCCCTCACTGTTTCTAAAATGCCGCTAGTGAAAAGCGGAGAGAGACAAGGACATCTCTTAGCAGCGTCAGCTTTGTGTGTATTACCTCGTGGCTGATCTAGGAGAGCATCAGTGCTGGATGAGTTTTAGGGAAGCTTAGCTCAGTGACCTGTGGATCTACTGGATCCACACAGAATGATGGAGAGCTACGTGGAAGGTGTTTTCCCAGATACTCACCTGTCTGAAACACAGGGCTCCGGCCAAGAGGAGAAGCACAGAAGCTCTGCTGGTCAACGCTGGTAGTTTCTCCAGAGCAGGAGCTAAAAGCAGGGAACTGCTGCAGATTCTCTAAAGCAATATGGACCTCCGGATCTAGGAAGACACTTTAAATTAGAGAACTAGGCAAGGTGGAGAAGACTGTCCATATGCAAGATGTTTGTGGGACTATGGGCAGTGCCAGCTCAAAACTTCTCTCTCTCCATCCTCTATCTTAGAGGCCAGTAAAGATCCTACTGCTGGATGAAAGCAATTCTTAAGCAATTTTTTTAATTATTCACTTTCAATACACTGATTGCCATACAAATAGAAACCAAGAATCCACAGCACTACACGTCACGGAGATAGCCGTGTTCTGGACCACCTTCCTTTTCTCCCATGATGGGCAGGAATTGCACAACATCATTTAGGTGTCACTCCTAGAACAGCTCACTCCGATCTAAATGTTGAGATTGTAGTATATAATCAGAATAAGGTGTTGGAACACAAACTGAAGGCCTTAAGAGTTCATCCTATGTTGCAAAAATTATTTCAGCAACTAAAGGTGACTGGAAACCCACCAGTTATGCTCAAGACTTACATTTGCCCTGTTTCTTGTTCTCTTCTATCTCAATTCTGCGTTCACGTCGCCGTTCGTCACGAGCTTTCTTCTGCCTTAGGCGTTTCCTCTTTTCAAGGTCATCTAGGAGTAACAGAAAGCACTGGATATCAAACCCACACTCATGTTTTTAGTAACATTTTTCCAGCTTTGAAAACTGTGTGTTCAGTTATAGTACACTGTTAAGAAACATATTTACAAACATATGTTCTTCCAAGCATTCAAGGCTTTTTTTTGTCTATGCATAATTGCTATCTGTACACAAAAGAGCTGCAGTTTTCTGTCTAGAGGTTATCAGACAGTTGATGCAAGAGGAGTAAACCTGTTATTTGCTTTCCTCTGCCATAAAAGGCTAAGAGCTACTCCCTTTTCATCTTCAAAATTACACAGCAGAGCTACTAGAAAGGTAATACCAACCTGAAAACAACTCCAAAGTTTCCTTGGAAACAGTAGGTGGCTTCAGAGCCAGTTCACAAATACTGAACTCACAGGTGAGCGGCAAATGACATAGGTAACGATGACGCTGTCTTATATCCTGAAGAAAAATAAAAACGCAAGTAGCTAGTTGTGAGTGTTAAAAATGCCAAATCAACTCAACAGCTATGGGGCTAGAATACTCTCCCATCATGAAATGCAAAAAAGCAGGAGCAGTGACACAGCAGACACTTCCTAAACTACCATATCTGTGAGTGATGCCGTGGGTCAGGACCCAGGGCTCCAGTATCTCCATCACCCACATCTCCATACTTGGATGCATCGACTTCCAACTTGGTTACCAGTCTTCTTGCTATTTCTCCCTTTTCACTTGCATCTTTGGAACGAAAACCTCCAATGCTGGTTCTCTGACAGGCTGAAGATTGGGTTTGAGTATCACTGCCCACTGTAAGTTTACACTAGACTATTCTAGTGTAAGAATAGATGCATCTTTTACACTGAAGTCCTTCCGATCTTCAACTACGGTTTCGTTAGACTGAAACAAGCTATTCTTGTTTTTCCTCATAAAGCAGAAAAACTCAAATGGAAGAGCCTACCACCTCTTTGCACCCATGCTATTCAAGTATATCCCTCCTTGCACAAGATTCCAGAATTATGTATAATTGTCACTGGACATGCAGGTTTTTACAGTAGTCTCTATTCCAGAGAAAGAAATGGAAGATCTACTCCCTTTTCTAAGGTCAGTGCCTAAGGCTGCCTCTACCTCCAAACAGACTGAATTTGTTTTCTATCTTCTTGCTGTATATATCTGCTTCTGAACACGGAGAGCTGATGGGGCAAGTTGTTTGGTCCTGCTGAACTGGAACACCACTTGTGGTTAAGATGAGTTAAAGTTTCTTCTCACAGAAGACAGTCTCTACACTTTTTTCTTTTTTAAATTTATTTAAGAACAAGCCAGTTTTGAGCTTGCAACTCTCTTATTCCTAAGCTTCCTAATGTCTGGAAGGAGAAAGCTGGACAGTAGTCTGCTTATTAGGAAGTACAATGCACTGCAGCTTGCACAGACACCCTTCACAAGATGAAGTGGATTTCAGCCCTCAGTGCCCCCTTCGGTCCTGGCCTAACATGCCTAACACCTCTCATAGTTATTACTTCCTATTATCAAAAATAGGCAAGTCTCACCTTTCAGCCACATGGATCAACTTGCCAAAACCAAAGGATCTTGATCCATAGTAAAATAGTTACCTCTGTCATTGAGTAGCCAGCTATCTCCACTACAGCTGCAGTTATCTTCTCTGGACTCTTCTCCAAGCTGCCATATTCACGAACAAGACATCGAACATTCACAGGGTGAAGATACATACACTGTCCATCCTCCGCTATAAGATAAGATATCACCACTCATTCTTTGCATGCTTGTTTTTAATATTCTTCTCTCCCCTCCTTCCCTCCCCATTTCATTTGCTAGTAATAAAATTAGAACTCCTTTCTGAGGAGCCTGCAATTTAATTTCACAGGGTTTAGCTGTATTTAACGAAGCAACAAATGTCTTTCCAAAAAAAGAATCTCAAAGGTGGCATCTCTACCCCCGTGATTCTAAAATTTCATTGCACTGACCTTGATAGAAATAATAAAAAGGAGAGTTGTTCACATGTCCACTGCTAATTGTCTCTTTAGATTCCTGGTAGCTTGTTTCAGGCATATTTGGTTCTGCTATAGTGTCCCCATCAGGTTCTCCTACGGTGTCCAGCTCGGGTACTCCTTCTTCGTCCAACGCAGCCTCTTCTGCTTCCAATGGAGGGGGAAAAGAACTTGCTGGATCAGAGCAAGGTTCCACAAGCTCTTCGTCAAACGCTGAGAGATACTCCACACCACACTGTCGCGGCAGAGAGCACATAGTTAGTACCACCTCACCTCCTTCAGCAGGCAGTCATCTCTTCAACCACTTTGGCACCACTGCAGTGTAAGGTGACTGAAGTAATTATTGACAAAATCCTCCTGAGCAGAGATGTTGCCCACCTTTTTCTCTTGGGAAACTGCAGGCTCCTTGGAGCTTTCTAAGACCAGTTCCTCAACAGCAGCAGTAATGCCAGCAATGCCATTGTTTTTCCCCTGGTCAACAGAGAGCGCTGACTCTCGCTCCTGTAAGTCACCCAAAGAGAACATGTTTCAGTTTCCTATTTGTTCCAGGAGACCCTCACTATAAATAATTTTAGCCCTGTCCTGGACTTCCAGTTTTCACAGATCTATATGCCATCTGTGACAAGAGGGACCCTTGAAGAAAAGGCCTTCTCAATACTGGAAAGCGCATATGTTGGAGGGTTTGAAAAGGAGTATTCTACGGGTCTGTTCATGCATGTCTTAAAGAAATTACCCTAGAAATCGCTAAGCTCAAGACAAAGGGAGTCCCAGCTTGCTCTGAAACAGAGCCCGTGTTTTTTTGAGAGGCACACCACTCAAAGCAGCATTCTGTAGGCAAACACCACGAATGCCATGACAGATACCTGGGGTCTAGAGGCTGCAGTCTCTTCCAGGACTTACACCCAGAGACCAGAACAGTCACGTGCAAGCTTTCTTGCACAGAGGTGATACCAAAGTGCTCTCCAAAATAAAGCTACTATAAATATTAAAAAAAAGATTCTCACCTTTAGTTCCTGGATAGCCGCCTCAATAAAACAAGCCTCTGGGGTATGTTTTTCCTCCTCATACTGTCTCAGTAATGCTGCCTTCTCCTCCAGGACCACACCCTGCAAGACCTGCTCCCTGGATGCCAGAAGCAGCTTTGAATACTGGCTGTGCTGTTCATCTGAATAAAAGGAACATAATCAAATCATGAACATCCCGTCCTGGTGCAGAGGCACCAGTTTGAATGGTTTGTTACTCTGCAGTTTGGTGGGGTCCAGCCTCTTTTTAAAAGCCTTGCCTATGAAATGCCCAGTTAACGCCAGGCTTTATGGGTTTGAAATGATCTCCAAATCATTTTTTTAAGCATTATAAAATCCATTACTTTCAAATACTGAGAAACATGCAAGCACACACACTGCACACTGAATACCCATTAGGAGACTTGACATTTTGCAGGAAACCTAAATGGATACAGTTATTCACAAAGTTGGCCGCAAAAAGCAAGTGAGCCATGATAGCCCACAAAAGAGCAATACTAAGTATAATTATTTCTCAGTCACAAAATTTTAATCTGTGACAAAATTAGTCACAGATGAGATGATACATTTTTCACATTACTAGAGTGGGGAAGATTGGGGAAAAAAGGACTATGGAGAAACAGATTTGCAGGAATTTTGATTATTTTCCCATATCATTCATCCAAAAATCTTAGCTGGTAAGTGATGATGAAACCTTTATTGAACATTATATCTTTAATATAGTTTGTATTCAGAGACAGAAGCCAGAGAATCAGGAGCTAGGGGAAAATAAGTAAATTAAAAGGATGCTGAAGAGCCAATAGAAGCAGCACTAGTCACATCCGTGACTGTACAACAAAGCACCTACCAAACTAAAAACAAAGTTTGGCAGAAGCTTAAATTGCAGTAACTTGAAGGGAAACAGAACGTCAGTTAAAGACTTGATATAAAGAAAGCGCAGGTGGAAGGTTTATCATTAAGATGTGGCCATTAAAACTGCTCAACTGCTAAAACTCGGGTTTTGTAGCCTCATCTATTGCAAGGTTACAGCAGGGCACTGCTGTGGAAAGTCTTCTCTACACAAGTCCCAGTCACAGAAGCAGCATCCCTACCCCGAGGGCCTCACATACACTCACCTCCAACGTGAACAGGCTGCACCACATCTGTCCACTGGGATTTGGGCAGTGCTATCAGAACACCCTTCTCTCTCCTCATAAGCTGCATTGTAATGGTATCACCAATTGCATATTGACGTGTTTCCATCGCAATAACACTGCGGTGCAAGGAGAAGGTCAGTAGGGTAAACATAACGTTTTAGAAAGAGGTATCATTTAATAAAGAACAAGCCTCACCTCTTGAGGTCCTTCTTGTGAACAGAGCTATAACAAATAGGACATTTACTCCATGTCTTCTCACTCAAGGAGAGGTAGTGAAGGATACAAGCCCAACAGAAGATGTGCCCGCAGCGGGTGATCTTTGCTGCCGTAGGTGGGTACAGACATATGGGGCAAGAGGGCACTTCGTGGCTACAGATTCGCTGAAAGGGCACGAGAGAAGAAGTTACAGTCTTGGAAACCATCCTGTAGCACAGGAACTAAGTCACCTGTGAGACTACGCTAACTTTTAAACCATTCAAGCTCTTTAGTCTCTTATTTACAAAGAAATTGAGTACACTAAGTGAAACTAAAGAATACTTTTTCTCTGCACGTGGAATACCTTCAAAGTCACCCATCTGGTATTTCCATTGCAATAATATTAAAAAAAAAAAGTAGAAAAAAACACCCCAAAACCACTCTGTTCATAACGTCCGATTAATTGGTTTCCTCTCATCATCTCCAAGAGTCATCATCAACTGAATTCAGATACTGAGAAGGCATCCAATGAATTTTTGCTGCGACTTAGGCAAACAGGACACCAAGTCTGCTTAACAGAGAGACTAAACTTACCCATTTCCGTGAACACCCTGGTCTAGTCAGGTGCTTTGTTAGCATCTACATGTTCCAAAGACACGACTGCCACTGCCAGTGAGCAAGCACCTACATTTTCAGATCACTTGTAGGGTCAGGTAACAGTAAATGTACCTGCCCTCCAGCTGCACCTTCTAGAGCAGACACCACAACCAACTGGGACAGATTAGAAGCTTCTGCTTGAGGTAACCCAAAGTTTGTTTGAGGTAACCCAAAGTTCTGGCCACAATTAGCAAGAGATTTTCCATTTTGTTGAGAGGCAAGAGGGGCTGCCTATGCAAAGAATAATTCTGCAAAATTCTACATACTCTAGTCCTCTTCCGTGGACTCATGCCCAAATTTTCTGCTAATATGCTGATCACAAGGACTAAGTCTACAGAAGAATGTCAGATACTATTTTTGATAAGCTCCCATCTGCAAAAGCAAGAAGAGGCTGCTAATTTTCCTAATAGATTTTAGCACTTCTCTTTCCCTGTCATGAAAAGCATTTCATAATATATTCCATGACAGATCTCTCCAAGTATTGTGGGAGTGACAGCAGAGGCCTCAAACTCAGTAAGAGCTGAGTTTTACATAATACCACAGAGATTAAGACAAGTTGACTTTCTTAACACACACCAACACACATACACAAAAAATATCTAGCCCAGTACAACTGACCACTTGCTCCACAAAGTCCCAGTTGACCAAGGTATCTGGATCAGCAAAGTGGACTGTGTAGTCCTGTTCTTCAGAGACAACAAACTGGCAGCTGGGGAAAGGCAAAGAAACAGATGATCCACTCAGTTGTTTCGAGAAATTCTAGAAATTTGAGAACCATCCCACAGGATTCTCCATAGAGCTTCTCTGTCCAGCAGAAAACTGCCGGATACTGTTGGTAATTTGTACCAACAAAACCCAGAGAGAAATCTAGTCATGAGTGTAACTAACAAGTGTGTGTCTAATTTCAATTAGAGAAAACATCACATACTAACTGAAGAGTGAACAAGGCAGGATTTTCCATAAATATTTAAGGAACAGCCAGCTCCACCAGGAATCTATTAAAAACAGTAAATCCACACTAGAAAGAATATGCTCCCCAAAACCAGGGCCATGAGAGTTCCTACAAAAACTTTACTACACTAAGCCTCAAATCAATATGGACATATCAGAAGTATCAAGATGAAAATAGCTTTTAACATCTTTAATATGATCAGATATAAGCCCCAAGCATACTTGAAATATGAGTGAAAATTACCATTATTTCCAGTTAAAAACGAGTTCTGCAGGTGGATCAATGCTGTCATCTTTGTTTGGGTTACTAATACATAACTACAGGGTAAGTCAACTTGAAATAGTCATGAGTTTAATAACTACGATCCATAGGAGATATTGCTTCTGGGACTCAAGTTCAGCTTAGCTTTGATCCAGTGACTGCTGCCCCTATCACTTCAACATATTACTTCTTCAGATAAATATGACTGCATTTTTCATGAGGGAAATACACACGTCTTCCCAAATGGACTATCACATTCCAAAAGTGATGCTGGATGGGAAGGGAGAAGACTATACACATCTGTGTCTAAAGGATTTGCCCAACCAGATATCTTGTCAACAGGCAAAGGTGACAGCTTCACAGATTTTTCACCTGTAAAGTACAGTCACAGATCACAGAATGGCTGAGGTTAGAAGGAACCTCCAGAGATCATGTAGTTCAAAAACATTAGTGAGGTAACTTCATTTTGGAAGAGTCAAGGCAAGTATTCAAACAGAATTCCCTGGCCGAATGTTCCTAAGAGATTATCTCTGTTGAAGTCTAAAAGCCCTGCAAGTCTCCCACTCACTTGGCCTGTAGGAAGAGCTCCTTGTTGAAAGGCTTATGTCCCCACTTGTTCCTTTTCCCCCAGTTGCCATGTCCATTCCCATCAAAGTGGGCTGATTGGCCACGGGGTTCAAAAGTGAAGTTCAGTAAGTGGTTCAGATTAATCTTCTTGGGACCAGAGAACTGGGCAGGGCTGAACTCTGCCCGTTGAGCCTCTGCTACCTAAGAGACAACAACATTTGTTAGAACTCACCCGAGTGCATTACAAAAGCATCAGTAAAAGTCAATTCTTTGTCCTCATCGATGATGCAGGGAACGTGCAGCAACCACTCACTCACCTTCTACTCCAGCTCTGCAAATCAAGTAGTGCTGCCTAAGTGCATAAGAATCTGAAAGTTAAAACTGAGCAATCTTATCCCATGCTGGTCAAACGGAGAAGAGCATAAAAACAACCTACATAATGACAAGTTAAAGCTAAGAAGACTTAACAGCCAAGGTTACTAACAGAAGAAGTTAAGTTCTAACAATATTATTTTAGACGGAAAGTAACGTAAGTGTGGTTACCATTTGCACAGGTCATGCCTGCTCCCTTTTTTTTTATATATATAATGAAACAAGCAGTGAGAATTTAACAGAGAAGGACAGTATTTTACGAGAGTAGTATTGCTCATGCACTGAAAATGAAAAATCACAGTACTCTATTATATCACGGAAAAAACATGGCATTTACACCCACATCAGCCTAAGAGGCCTCAACCTGATTTTCCTCCACCTTGATGGCAGATTGTGCCCAATTTGATCATTTTCTCAATACCAGCATCAAGTGCAAGTTTATGACAAATATCACCTTAGACTTTTAAAAGCTAGAAATTGTATCACTAAATATTTTCCTGAAGGGCCTTTGTTCCCCAAGATGCGCGCCTGGTCTAAGTACTCATTCCTCAGAATTTCCACTAGTTTTCCTGTTCTCTTTATTGCAGGTCTCTCGGAGCAGAGAGCACTCCTCTTCTGTTGTTGCAAAGTTGTTCTGATCACACTCAATCTGACAGCTCAGCGATGTTACCACCTCTTAGTGTTCTTCCCCTTCCCAGCCCAGGAGCTGAACACAGAAGACCTATCTAGGCAGGTCAGAGTGATCCTCTGGTCCCAAGAGAGAGGGCCTTGCAGACACTGCATTACAATTCTCACCTCATCGCGTCTTCCACCATTACTAGAGCTAAAAAGTTTGCCACTTCCGCCACTCCCTCCCCTCTGGGGGGGCATCTTGTTAAAAGCTTTGCTTTTCTGTGAATTGGAGCGACGGGACTGACTGGAAAAGTTCTCATTTTTTGAGTATGAAGTTTCTCTTTTACGATTATAACGCTGTTTGGATCCACTCGCATTCTTTCCATCTGAAAGAAAAAAAAAAATAAAGAGCAAGCATTAGACTGGCAGCTTCACAGAGACCTTTAGTTGTATCCAGTGCATATCAGACACCCAGCACCTCAAAGACAGAGCTGTATTTCACCTGAACCACTCAGTATGAGCACTCTTTAAAAAGGTACTGTTTATCCTGGACATGAGAATGTATCTATCAACCCATAAACTATTTTACTGCTGCGACTGTTCAAAGAGAAAAAAAAAAAAAAAAAAAAAAAAAAAAACACACCACCACCACAAGAAGACTAGATTTAGTCACTATGTTTTATCCTTTATTATGATGACTAAATTCTCTTATTTAGGTTTGGAATTATTCCCCTATGTTCAATATATTTGTTTGCTGAGCCTGTGATGTCTAAAGGGTTTGAAAGAGCAAACTGCAGATGTAAGACAAGGACAGAGTCACCATACCAGTAATGATATGCAAGTCCACCAGACACAAGCATGTTACCTGGTACCTTCAGTGACAAAACCCAAAATTACATCTTCATGCTTGATTACAAGAAGTTGACATCTACTGGTAGATTTTTCATTCTATTTACTGGAAACATATAATTTATCATCTACTATTGCCTCATAAAATACTACTGCTGCTTGAAGTCCTGCTTTGAGAACCTCATGGCCCATCTTCACTCAACTCTGCCCCTTATACTTACAAGGCAACGGATTCAACTCTCTTTTTAAATGCCCTTTCTTTTGCCCACAAGGTCAGCAAGCACCAGCTGATCTTTTTTGTTCAGTTACCATCACTGACCAGCACCTCTCCCCTCACTGGGCATGTGCCCAAGTGCTAAGTCCACCTACGCACGCAATGAGGCTGCCCAACAGCTGCCAAACGTGGCTCGAGTGCAGGTAAAAAGCAATAGAAAACACAAAGAGCTACAGCTCTTGGCTACAGCTTTCTCTTTCTCTACAGCTGAACTACAGCTTGTGATAGCTGAAAGTCCTGGGCTTCTGGCTCTAGCAGGGACACAGCTGCTGCATTAGGCCGTGAGGCCACACAAAGAACACTCTGAAGAAGGCCCTGGTGAGAGTCTTGACATGAGACCAAGGCTTGAGGACACGGCTGGCCGCTTCGCTGTCATTTAAGCTAACATTTCTACCAACTCCTTTAGGTTTTGCTTGGAAGAAGACTTATGATGCAGCCCTGGAGAGCTGAACTCAGCAGGCCCAGTCAGACCCCCTATCCACACCAGCCACCCCTTTAGTCATTCTGGTGCCCCACAAGCCTTACAAAACAGTATAAACATTATAGCCTCATACTGGCTAATATATCTACATCCAGCTATAAAAACCTACTAGTTTTCCCTGCTCTATTTCATAGCCCGCTCCATCCTTTAAAATAAGCCTTAGATGGGAGACAAATGCTTTCCCATGATTCAGAATCACCTTACTCATATAGGTTGAGTTTCTTACCAGTGCTTCCAGTTTTGCCCTTCTCCAGAACCACTTCCAAAGCTGCCCAAGCCTTTAAAGCAGCTGGAATGAGACCACTCACATGTGTCACTATTATAGCATAATTTGCTCTCCCACCCCGCAACACAAAGAGTGGAGGGGAAGGACTCCAAGGGCTACATTTCTTGCACATTACTGAGGATCCTGCTATTTAAGAGATGAGTATGTGATGAAAATGGCTTAACTGGATCTTGCTGTTTCTTGGCCATATCAGACCTCAGTCTTTGCTTGCAACTGCAGCTCTAGGAAGACACCACCACCACTGTCACACGATGTGACAGGGCCGATGTGCAGACATAGTTTGCCACCAGAGCTAATCACATACTCTGCTATTCGAATGCCAGGCCTAGATATGTTTGGAATGAAAGCAGTGCCACCAACCCTGCACACAGACAACTCAAACACGCTCTTCTCCTCTCGTCTGCAGTGCTATGAACGCCAGCCAGGCTGGAGCGTTATCAGGAAGAAAAACACCCCAGAAGCTGCCAAAAGCCGCGGGTGTGACCAGGCCTGGCTTAATCATTATCTAGACAGAAGGTTTTTTCTGAGAGTGTTTGTAGGGAAGAAGCTATAACCCACACCGCCAGGGCTCTGCTCAAAAATGAGGTAATTCTGATGAAGTTTGTACTACTGCAGTTACTCACATGCAGAGCTCACCCGATATCTGTAATTCCAGTGAACACTCTCAAAGAGCACATGCCTAGTGGGCTCACTACAACTTTGCCTCTCCTCTCTGGTCACCTACTCAGGAAAAAGCACCAGGAGAAGACAGTTGTGCCTAAAGCGGGTTTTCTTAACTCTTCACACTGTCCAGGAAAACTTCACCTGCCTGCAACTGACACAAGAATTTCCTACCACTTACAGTATTAATCAAGTTAATCACCACTGAAGGCGCCACTTTTGTCATTCAGTTGGTATTAGCACATTCCTGTCGTGCTGCAATCCTTTCAGACAGACTCCTCAAGTCCTTATGAGTCATCAAGAGTTTGATAAAAATGCATTTTAAACTGGAACTGTGTTTTCCTCTAACTAACTCACTATACAATCGCAAACCAAAACTTCGTAACACTGGACACAAAGTTATTCCCAGCCTGGAGGATCCAGCTTTACCACCTGTTGTTTCTTCAGCTGGGCCCTCCGTGCTGCTAGAAAACTTCTCTCCCCATAAAGCCACCTCCTGCCACCCACTAGGGAGGTCACAGGACTAAAGCCAGCTCCAGGTGGCTGGCCCGGCGCTGGAGCTGCAGGACTGGTTTGCTGCCAGGGCGAGGAACGCAGTTTCCTTCCGCCTGTAGTGTTGAAAACAGTCGTATTGTGCAAACAGGTTTTGGGTGGCGGAACAGCAGGCCCAACCTTGACTACAGGAAGACACTGCACCCTCCGGGACACAACCTGTGCTAGTGCCCTCATAGAACTGAGGGTAACTTTTCTGTTGAAAATATCTGAATTTCGGTGGAAATAGAGACTGAAAGGTGGCAAACCTGGCTGAAACGCAACTTCCACGAGTCTGAGAGTCTACAGGGTCCAATTTAGTCTGCTTTAAGATGTACTGCAAGGAAAAGAGGTGGAGAGACTACCGCAAGGTTTAAGAAATGTTCCCTCTGCATTTCCCCAACTGGAGTAAGAGCAGGTAACTCAGAAAAGCAAAGTGGCAAGAACATGGCTGGGAGTTAAATGCAGTGCAGAAATCACTTATGTAACAAAAGATCAACATTCTGGGGAGAATGTGAAGTTCATGAAGAAGATTTTCCAATTTAAAAGAGATGCCACATTCTTAAGAAGTCTCTTTTCCCTATCCTGAAACAGGGCAGAAGTTGGTGGACCACCAACCCCGCTCGTGGCTGCACCATTCCAAGGATGGAGAAGAGCTGGAGAAAGAAATCCTGTATGGTGACATACCAGTATCTTGCAGGCAATGGCCACCAAAACATGTCCACCGTTCAACCCTGCTGCATGTTTTGAGCTCAGAATTTTAGTCCATTCCTTTAATCTGACTAAATGAATCTTCTCATTTTAGTTCTCAGTACCCTTCAGAGAAACAATTTCTATACCCACATTTACTCCTACAAAAGCTCCTTACTGGTGGATATTTATATTTGTAAACAGTCCTCCTTCAGCAGTATATATGCTGATGGCTACATCTTCCCTAACAATATACTACTAAGAAATAAGCTATAGCAAGGAGGCATCTCTTGACAAGACTAACAGCCATGTCCTCATGACCTCATGTCTGATAGCCTTTCACACTGCCTTTTAAAATACATATACTGAAGTTTAAATATTCTCTTACCACATTTGAAGCCAGAAAACTCCTTCTAAAGACTATTTCACACCTATCAGGTGATTCCCTCTCCCTCATTTTTATCCATCCATACATTAGAGGGAAAAAAATAAAGAGAATACCACCGAAAACAAAATATTTAGGAATAAGGGAAAGCCTTCTATCAAATTCTGTTATGGATGTGGGAATCTTTGCAAGTGAGCTAGGAGCTCTTACAAAGAAAACTGACTCCAGATGCTTTTACAAGTCTCAACTTCAACTTTAAACTTACTATAATCACCCAGTTCTAACGCAATCTAGGAAGCTCTGGGAGTGCCACATTCCAGGTGCTCCATTGGCAGAGTCTTTCATGGGAGGGGCTGGTGAATACAGGTGACTAACAGGTCACTGGAGTCCAAGTGCATTTAGTATGTTCAGAAATGACTTAAGTCTTTAAGATACTTTTTATTGATGCACTATGGCATACATTTCTATTTCCCCAGAAACAACTGAAACAAGACACTAAGGAGCAAGGAAATTAAGTACAGGCTGCTGCAGCAATTATTACTGTAGACAATCTCTTACGTACTTGTAGGAGTAAATATTACTGTCCCACTTCTAGCTTTTTGTGGGGGGACACAAAGGTGTTGGGGACACTCTACTCCCCATCATCTTTAGGGATGACTTAGGACTTACCTTAAAACACACAGTACAGGCAGTACCAGGGGTGCTGGTGAACGTCTGTGTGACACAACAAGCTACCTGTGGTGCCACACGTTACGCTTCACCTTAGAGGCCAGCCAAGCACACACGAAGCCACGCGCTCCGTGCTCTCCAGAAGCAGGCTACAAAAACATAGCCTGGGAGGGCAATTCCGTGTACAACATGGGAAAGCCTCCCACAAGGGGCAAGTGCACGCGGTGGGAGCATGGAATAAAGTCATGGTTCTTCTGAGAGGAAACTTGTGCTTGCCACTGCCTATAACATTAGAGCACTGTCTCTCATGCTGGACACTCCAAAGCTAAGGGGAATGGAATGTAAATCCTTAAAGGAAGGTGAAAAACAGAATGATAAAAAAAAAAAACGTTAAAAAAAAAGCATAAATAAGCAAAACAAAACAAACAAAAAACAGCCTTGCAGGGGAAAAATGGGACGGGAGCTGCATCTGCCAAAAACGCCGGGCACAAACCAGGAAGAGGGAAGAAAAGGAAAGCAAAACGAAGCAGTGACGTGAGGCGAGGCTGACAACACCCAGCGAGGAGACAAACAAACATCCCGAGCAGCCGCTCGGCCCCGCGCCGAGCCCAAGGCCGGGCCTGGAGCCCCGGGCTGCGGCCGCAGCCTCCGCTGGAGCTCGGGGGCTCCGCGGGGCGCCCGGGGCACCGCGGATCAGGTCTCCCCGCTCCCCGCCGCCGGCTCTTACCGCCTTTGGGCTTAGACTCCCCCGCGGCGGGCCCGGCCGAGGCGGATCGGGGCTGCTGCGCTTTGCTGCCGGCCGAGGAGCCGGGCGCACCGGGGCCGCAGGGGCTGCTCTTGTCCATGGCGGCGGCTGGGGCGGGCGTCGCGCCGGGCGGGCTCTGCAGCATCAACGGGCGCCCCGGCGGCGCTGGCGAGCGAGCGGCGGCCCTGAGCGGGGCGGGACGATGGTCGCTGGCGGGGTCGGCGGGGGCCCTGGCGCATGGCCCGCGGGCAGCGGCGGGGGCGGCGCAGCGCGGTCTCGGCCTCCTTCATGGCGACATCTTCTCGCTGCTGCTCTCGAAGCGGGGAGGGCCGCGGGAGGCCGGGCCGGGCCTGCGGGGCTCCGGGCAAGGACGGAGCGAGCGGCTCACGGAGCCCCGCGGGGCCCGGCGCTGCCTGCGGCCGGAGAGCTCGGCGCCCCCCAGGCACCCACGGGCTCCGCGGCGCCCCTCCGGTCCCGGCCCCGCTTCGGCCGCCGCCGCCGCTGCCCCGTAATGGCGACGAGTCGCCCACAGCAGGGACCGGGACCCGGATGGAGCCTTTTATAGGCGGGCGGGCGCGGAGCATGCCGGGAATTGGAGTCCCGGCGGGCCGCACCCCAACATGGCGACCGCCGCGGAGCATGCCGGGAGTTGTAGTCGCTCCCCCCCGCCGGGCACCCGCCCCTCGTTCCCCGTACCGGGGGCTCAGTAACGGGGGCGAGGGGGGTGCGCGCTTCCGCAGAGATAAAGGGCTCGCTTTTCCACTGAGGAAGGACCCTACCGAACAATTCTTCCAGCGAAGATCTCATAAAAGGGCTCATCTTGAGCCCTGCTTTTCATCCCCACAGAAATAAAACTGGGGGGAAAAGAGCAGAATACCATAAAATTCTAGAGGCAGAGCACACTAAAAGTAATTTTATTAGGAAAGAAGCTGGCTTTTGAGGGGAAATAAGGACAAAGGAGGTTTCTCTTGCTATTTTCCCCTAACTGCAATAAAAACACCAACTTCTGCAGCAAAATCCCTCATATGAGTGAAATAACTAACTAACTCCAGGTGTGTTTGCCTGGGAAGGCCGAAGGCACGGGGCTGCTTGCAGTTAACACACGTGCCGTTAGCAAGGTGCAAGTTTCAGCAAGAGTCCGTGGCTCTACCCGGATTTGAAGAGCAGAATAGCAACGTGCCCCAGGTAGAAGTAGATGAAGTGCTTACTCTCATGAGTCACGTGGCTGCAAAAGTTCCTTCCCACAACACAATGCCAAGTGGGATGGTGTTTCTTGTCAAATTCCTGCAGGAGAGAGCACTAGTGATTTAGTATTTCAATGCAGGGTGTGTAGAAAGAAAGGGGAGAAAAAAAGGTCTTAAAAAGGAAGCAGTGCAAAAGAGGAAGGACCTGGAAAAGCACAGGGAAGGGACGTCCAGGGCACTAACATGGAGGAAGCCGGACTCAGTTACCTGCAGCTCATAGAACTTGATTCCATGGTGCTAAATACCACCGCTCCCTGGTGCCTCACAGCGGTAAAGGCCTCAAAGAGGAGGATACGACAAAGGAACATTTACCCTCTTTATGTGGGCCGCGATCTCGTGCTCGATGTTGTACTCGTCCAGCGCCAGCAGGGCGCAGTCCACGGCCTCCTGCTGCATCTCTTCGGTCATGTCCGTGTCCTTAATCACGGCCTTGTGGTCGCCCATGGCCGCCTGCACCGCGCAGAGCCGAGAGCGCTGCGGGAGAGCCGGGAGAGCCGCCGGCCCGCGCGGGGAACCGGCCCCGAGCGGCCGCCGCCGCCGCCCCCGGGTTCGAGCCCCGGCGCCGCCGCAGGCGCCTCTCGCTCCGCCGCGTCCGTTTAACGGACCCGCGCGCGCCCCGCCCCGCCCCCTCTGAGATCTCCGCCAATCATTGGTCGCCGCTAGCGCACTGCCGGGCACTCATTGGCTGCTACCGGGAGCCTCTCGGGGGGCGTTTCCTTCTCGCCCGGCATGCACCGCGCTGGCGCTGTTGCTGTGGCGACGGGAGGCCGCGCGGCCCCAGCCAGGCCCGAGCCTCCCAAGAGCATCTGTATCATAAACGCGTATAAACGCGTATAAACGCGTATAAACGCGTATAAACGCGTATAAACGCGTATAAACGCGTATAAACGCGTATAAACGCGTATAAACGCGTATAAACGCGTATAAACGCGGAGCTAACCGCCACACCCATCGGAACTCCGTAGCCTTAAGGGCATGGCCAGGAGAATGGGGCGACTAAAGCAGTATGGAGCAGCACAGGCCTCAGAACCAGCCTGTGTTTATGGCCTGTTCCTCCCTGACCTCTTACTTGTGCATTGAGTTCAGTTCCCAAACCTCCTGAATTTTGGGAAAGATACTTTTCAGGAATTTTGGCATTCCCACTCACAGGAAAATGAGCAGCAGTATCAGCAGTAAAAGAAAGAAAAAATAAAAAAGCACAAGCCATAAAACCCTTATGGGTGGAACACACGTTTTTATTAGCAAAGAAAGTGGCTTCGAAAGCTCTTTCAAAATCATTTTTGAATCAGTGGATTCAAAAATAAATACCCTTCCCTCCCAAAATTGTAATTTTTCCCCTAACCGCCATGAAAACACTAGCCACTACAGCAAAACCCCTGATACCACCCTTGGGGAAAAAAATAAATAAGTAAATAAATATATAAATATAAAGGTCTGCTTCCAGAGGGCGGCTGAAGACACCAGCCCGCTGACAGTGAGGGTGCAGCCCTGTAGCCACATGCAAGTTTCAGTGTCAATCCACGGCTCTAGCCAGCTTTAAACAGCAGGATATTGACTCCGCGCACGAGGAAGAAGATGAAGTGCTTTGTCTCATGAGACACGTAGCTGCCGAACTTCCTCCCCACAACGCAGTGCCAAGTGGGACTGTATTTCTTCTCAAACTCCTGTGGAAAAGATCACTAGGAATTTAGTGTCAGCGAGCCTCTGACCCACATGCTCTATCTATAGATTTCTGTCACTGTTGGGTCATTTAACCAGCATCACTATTTGGACAAGGCAATTCAGGAGCAGTGCATGCACTTAAAATACAAAGGATTAAGTTACTTATCTTCTATACACCACTTGCTGCTTAGTCCAAAAAATAAAGCCTACCTGACCACATCTGACTAGTGCTCCTTAAATGAGAAGAAAGAAGATTAAAATGTAACTTATGCTTAGATAATAATTTTGCCCAACCTGGAATAACACCATGATTTCAATCCAGAACTTTTGAAGCATCCAAGACCACAATCTCTCTACTCATCATATGTGAGAACCTGCCCCAAGTTCCAAAACCAAGGATGCAAGTCCACTAAAAGCAGAACTTGGCAGCAGTGGCTACACAGGGCTGCATCCAGCAGCTCACTGCTGAGGATGCTCTGGAGGACCTGGATGCTCTGGATGCACACAGGTGTTTCTGCTTGGTTACAAGCCTTGGGTAAAGCAGCTTCCCCACAAAGTCTCAGGTCTCAAGCGGGAGGTAAAGAAAGTCTGAGGAGCTGTAGGCCATGAACTGGCTACTCTCCATCAGCAGAAGACCCGCAGAAAAGGACTTTTCCCTGTAAACTTTAAACAGGCCAGCCAGTCTGACACAGCTATTGTAGAACTCTGAAGAGATCCCTAAAGCTGAAAGTGAAGGCTATTTATGTCAAATATTTGGCAGAAAAGACATTCCCTCAGATAAAAACTAAACACAGTGTTTTGAACCTGATAACTGGGCACAGGAAAATGTGAACAGCCACTCTTCTGCTAACCCCAATAATGGGATAGTGCGGGAAAGGATTAAAATAGAAGGTATTGCACAAGAGAACGCCCAGGAAGAGGCACATTTAAGGGAGATAAGAGGGAAAAGCAACATGAGGACACCAGCCTGCACGAAACCCAGCTCAATTATCTAGTATCTCTAGAACCTGCTTCTCAAAGCAAGCCTTGAAACTCCCTCTGCTCCACCTTTGATGTGCACAGAGATATCCAGAGGATGCTACGAGCCAAGATTTACCCTCTTAATGAGAGCTGCAATTTCTTTTTCAACACTGTATTTCTCTAGGGCTACAATGGCGCAATCGACAGCTTCCTGCTGCATCTCCTCAGACATGTCCGTGTCCTTAATCACGGCTTTCTGGTCACTCATGGTCACCTGCGCGAGCAGAGGAGGAGAGTTCAGAGCTGCGGGAGGCGGCAGCGGCGCGGGGGAAGGGGAAGGGCGCCCCGCGCCGCCGCCCCGCGCGGCCCCTGCTCGGCGCTGCCGCGCACCGGCTCCCGGCCGCCCCGCGGGCGCTGCGGGCCCGGCCCGGGCGGACGCGCAGCCCTAAGGCGCCTCTGGCTCCGCCGCCGCCTCCGTGAAGCGGCCCGGCCCCACCCCGGAGCGCCTTGGCTCCGCCCCCTGCGCTATTCCCGGCTCTCATTGGCCGCGGCCGCCGCCGCTCATTGGCCACGCCCGGACACCTCCCCGGGAGGATGCTTCCCGCGCCGAAGTTGCCATGGTGACGCTCAGCGACGCGCTGGAGCCATTTTTAGGCCGTTGGCCGCGGAGCACGCCGGGAGTTGTAGTTTCCGCCGCTCCGCCGTCCCCCTGCTCCGTGTTCCGCCAGGCCCCGTTCCGGCCTCTGCCCGCCCCCCGCCAGCCCACGGCTCTCACAGCCCGGGCCTGGGTGGGCCAAGGGATGAGGAAACTCTGCTCCTCCCCAGTAATAACCAGCACCTCTGGTTACCCTCTGGTAAGACGGAGAGTTCGTTGTCCAAGGTGGCTTGCCCAGGGATACAGCACCAGGAAAAGGAACAGCTCAGGGTTTGCAACAGGGCATTCCTGTGCCAGGGAATGTGTCCGATAAAGATGGAGAAAAAAAAAATATCAACGTGAAACGGGAAGGAGCAAACACTGTCACTGCTTACCCAGCAGAGGCACTGCCTGGGCAGAGCAACAGATGCCCACAAAACTTTTACAGGCCAGACTGCTCCAACAGCTCCACTGGCAAAGACAACGGAAAGGAAAGTTTTTTGAAGGAAAACAAATACAAGGAAGAGCTTTTTGGTATTTTTCCTCTTTATAGCCACAATGAAACACCAACTGCTACGGAAAAATCCCTGACATTACCCTTGAAGACCGAGGTCTGCGTCCTCAGGAAGGCTGAAGTTATGGGTGTGATAAGGTCAGCGTACAGTCCTGTAACCAGATGCAAGTTTCAGTAACAGTCCGTGGTTCTAACCAGACTTAAAGAGAAGAATAGCGACTTGGCCGAGGTAGAAGTAGATGAAGTGCTTTGTCTCATGGGTCACGTAGCTTCCGAAGTTCCTTCCCACGATGCAGTGCCAAGTGGGGTTGTATTTCCTGTCAAATTCCTACGGAAGAGAGCACACTAACATTCAAGAACTCTTCCAAAATTACAAGAGACTGGCAGAAAACATGTCTTTTTTTCCTGTAGTCTTTGACCCCAGCTCACCACAACTGCAAACAGAAGCTTAATACTAAACTCTGTAAAATGAACATCAAGCAGTTCATCAAACTGGCCTTCCCTTGACGGAAAACTCAAAAGAGTTGCCAAGTTTTCCTTAAGCCAAGCAGTCACAAGGCCAGGTCAGCTGCCAGTCTCCTATTCACCTGGATATTGAGATAGTAGAAGAAAATACTTAAACAGATAGGTGACTGAAAAGAGGAAGAATCAAGAAAAGTACAGGGCAAAGATGAGGAAAGAAACATTAAGGATGAGCCTGTAGAAAGACTAACTCGATTATCTAGCATCTCCAGAACTTGTTTCTCTAGAGTTACTTGCCCAGCAACGTTCCCCCCGTTTGATTTTTTTTTTTGATGTGCAGAGGGATTTCATGAATATTATGCTTCAAACATCCATCTACCTTCTTTATGTGAGCTGCGATGTCCTTCTCGATGTTGTACTTCTCGAGGGCCTGCGTGGCACACTCCACAGCATCCTGCTGCATCTCCTCCGACATGTCCGCATTCTTGATGACAGCCTTTCGGTCACTCATGGTTGCCTGCATTCAGCAAAGACCTCTGAGTTGCAGGAGCATCGATCTGCACACGAGCATCCCTGCCTGCACTCGGATGCACAGTCATATCCCATCGGTTTCCATTCTGCCTGGCTGCGGGCCATAAGCCTGTGCCTGGACATCCTACACCGCATCCCTCCTGGGGTATTTGAGCCCTGCATAGCCTCGAACAGTATCTCAGGGGGCCCTTGGGATACAGCCCCCATCCCATGGGAGCTGAGGTTGTGGACAGGAGAGCCCAGGGAGAATCCCCACGTGCCGTCACCACGAGGAGCCCCTTGCAGCCCGGGGCAGCCGCCCAGCAGAGCCCGGGCATGAGTCCGCAGCGGCTCCAGCACTGAGGGGTTGCGAGGGGAGCCCGGGCGGCATCGACGGCGGCGCCGCCCCCCGCAGCCGCGGGGCCCGGCGTGGCTTTCGGGGAAGGGCCGCCACGCGCAAGAGCCGCCGCCACGCTCAGAGCCCCGCGCTCGGCGGTATCGGCCGCGGCGGGGAAGGCCTCTCTACCCCAGCTCGGTCTTTCCAGACCCCGACCACCCCAGGGAGCCCCGCGCCCCAGCGCCCCGCAGCCGCCCCCCGCGGGCCCCCGTTCCAACCCCATCCCCCCAGGCAGCCGCGGGCCCCGGCCGGGCTCCCTCACCGCCCCCGGGGTGCTGCAGGACCAGCCCTGTGCGCAGCGAGGTGGAGCGGCGGGGCGGGGCGCGGGGGCGGGCTCGGGGTGGGCGGACGCGCAGCTCGCAGGCGCCTCTCGCTCCGCCGCCGCGTCGGTTTAACTGACCCGCGCGCGCCGCACCCGCCTCCGAACGCTCCCGGCCCCGCCCACCTCGGGCAGGCGGCTCGCTATTGGTCAGTGCCGCCGCCCTGCCGAGCGCTTATTGGCCTTTTCGAGGCGTTCCGATCGCATTTTGCCGCAGCGTTTTCTTGCAGCCCGGCATGCACCGCGCTGGCGCCGTCGCCTCTGTGACGGGAGCGGCACCGCCCGGGCGGGCGGCGGTGACGGGAGCGGGCGGCGTCCCCGGGCCCGGCCTGTGGCCCAGCGGGGCGAGGGCGTCTTCGCAACCACCCTCCCGCGCGGGGCGGGAGAGGCTCTTCCGACGCGACACCCAGTCTGAAGCGTTAGGTTTGGAGCGTTAAGGGATGTTCTGGCGCAGGAAACCTAATAAAAGAGAGAACAGTGCGTTTTTTACCTCGTCTTGTGGATGTAGTGTGAGGAAGCTGCAGGTGGATGTGCTCAAAGAGGCTGTCACTGGAGGGTCTCAGGTTAGCAGCTCGGAGGATCCAAGTGAGAAGCAGCAAAAGAGCATCAGATACCTGGAGTATTGGACGCTGGGCAGGTTTCCTGACAGCGAGGGGGCTTCTCTTGAGAGATCTGCATGCCTCGCTTGTGCTTGGAGATCCGTACCCCTGCCTAGGGTGCTCAGGCAAGGGGATTAGCAGCCGCCACACCTCTCAGGTCTGGATTTGCATTAATTTTTCTGAGAGCTGAGAGGGGCTATTGGGTCTCTGGAGCAACAACAGTCAACCAACGAACCCGGCGCTCGTTGTCCCCGAGATGTTTCACCCAACTGCAGCCGACCTCGGAACCGCAGCTTCCCTGGCAGCGGCACCAAGTCGGACGAGGAGGGAGCCCCAGGGCGGGGGAGGTCCCCGGGAGCCCCCCCGTTCTGCCCGTCCCGGCGCCACCGGGGGAGGGCGTGGCCTCCCTGCAGCCCCGCCCCTCCGCCCCGCTCGGCGGTTCTGATTGGCTGCGGGGCACGCGCCGCGGCGGCGGCGGCAAGGGCATGCCCTTGCAAGATGGCGGCCGCGCTGTGCCCGTGCCGGGCGCTGCTCGGCCGGCGGCCCCGGGCCCTGCGCGCGCTCGCCCGCCCCGCACGGGGCCTGGCCGCACACGGGCAGACGCACTTCGGCTTCCAGACCGTGTCGGAGGAGGAGAAGGGGGAGAAAGGTGCGTGCCCGCGCCTCGCCTCGCCGTGCGGCGCCCTGGGGAGGGAGCGCGGGGCTTTTGGGGCCTTGCGGCGGTTAAACGGCGCCAGGCCCGGTTTGGTGGGCCCGGTTCTTACCCCGGACTCCGCAGCGAGTACGAGAAGAGTCTGTTTTTCTCCAAAGAGCCGTTTATCAAGTAGCAATCTCAGGGGGGTTCTGTCCTCCCTGCGAGGGCTTTTGGGGTGACCTCGGTCAGTGCCGTGTGGTGGCAGAGCTGCCCAGGGCAAGGAAGGGCTGGATCTGCTTCCCCGCATCGCGCCTCATCTTCATGCCCTTTCTTCTTAGTTTACCAGGTGTTCGAAAGCGTGGCCAAGAAATACGACGTAATGAACGACTCGATGAGTCTGGGCATCCACCGAGTGTGGAAGGACGTTCTCCTGCATAAAATGAACCCTTGCCCGGGAACCCTGCTTCTGGATGTTGCTGGAGGGACAGGTAAATGCATTTGTTGAGTTTCACGTGGCCACAATGCCACAGTCACTTGGAACAGCTCTTCTCAAATGATAAAACACATACTGTGTTTTATCATATATATATCTGTTAATAATAAACACATATATATCTGTTAATAATAAACACTAATTTATTAGTATTTATTTATGTTTGGACTTGTTTGACAAGCAAAGAAAGTACTGTCTGTTAGCAGTAAAATGGGATGCCTTTAGTCAGGAACACTATTTTGATCTCTTTGAATCTGCTCAAACTTTTTAGCAAGTTGCTTAATGCTTTTGGCCTCAGTTCTTCTCTTTTTAAACCAAGAAAAAGAAATCTCTGGCTTTCACAGGAAAAGGCTGGGTGAAATTTGGAATACCTTGCTCAAAGGCTCTGAAGCCATTATAGTCCTGCCCTAATATGCTATGGGCAAATATATTCTTATTTGTAGGAAGTGGAGGCAGTTTACTTTTATTACAGCCCCTTCAAGATACATGTATTTCAGCCAAGTTTAATATCCAAAGCCCTAGATTAATGTTCCTTGGAGTCTTAATACTTCTGATTTCAGAAAACATACCAAAATTTATATCTTTCCTTTAAAATTAATACAGGTGACATCGCCTTTCGATTTATTAACTATGTTCGTTCTGTGCGAGAGCGCCAGCTGCGACGGAAGCTCAAGCACCATCAGAATTTGTCCTGGCAAGAAATTGCTGACAGTTACCAGGAAGAGGCAGTTAAGCCTCTTGGGGATTCCCAAGTGGTGGTTTGCGACATTAACAAGGAAATGTTAAAAGTTGGGAGGCAGAAAGCAGAGCATCTTGGCTACTCTGAAGGTAAGTCACGCACTGTTTTGATAGCATCTCTGGTGGAGGAAGCTGAAGTGTGATTGTCATCGGGTAATCACCACTTCAGCATTACAGTAAAAATGATGTAGCAGTGCCATAAAGCAAAGGGTGGTTTTTGTCAAGGCAAAATTAGTTCTCCAGTAAGCATGAGAGGAATATGCTGTTCTTGAGCCTTCAGAAATGCAGGCATGGAAGTGTATGTGAGGTCTGATGTCCAGCTGTCCTTTCAAATGACATAAATAACCAAAATTTACTCTCTATGTCTGTGCAAACTCACTTGACTTTATGGCAGATAAGAGATTAGAGCTTAGCCCTGGAATGATTAATCTAAAGGTATATATGGGTATATTGAGAATGAAGGCAATAAATTAGAAATGCAAAAACTAGTCTATTGTGAAGCTGTAAGACTTTCCACAGTTAGAGAATGTGTTTTCAATATTAAGAGAAACTGAATTGCATTAAATGTTAGTTTGCAGGTCAATGGATTAATTCACTGATATCTAGAATTTGTTGGGGACCATGCCAATCCTGATTGAAAAGCCTGATTTTAAGAAGTAAGACATAGAGAAAGAAGTCCGGCTTGTGGCACAGCGTTTGTATGACAGTCATTTATCATCTCTTTGTTTATAGATTCCTTGAAAATACTTGTAAACTGTAGTAGGAGTTTGCTTGGATCAGGAATGCTCTGGGCAGCCAGTATCAGTCAGAGGCACAAGACCTTGGGTGTCCTTTCCCTGCACCCTCTTCCTACAGCCCAACTGGGGCTCCAGTCCCAGCCAGGCAATTGTCCAACACTTGTTGCCAGTTCCTGGCATGAGATGCATGTGGGAAAGGGGAATTCTTGCAAGCAAGGTCTCCAAGCAGCTACGAGTGACCTCCCTGCTTCTAGATCCTGGGGGCTAAAGGACACTCTGCACAGCTCGGGAGCACTCGGGAGGGGCTGAGGAATTGGCTCCTGGCACAGGCTCTTTCAGCTGCTCCTGCTTTCTGCTGCCAGGCCGCCTCAGGCCGTTGCCTGCCTGCCCCTCTCTGCTTTAGGCACAACAGTCTTGTTGTGAAAGCCCTGGTTTGCATCAAGCCCTGGTTTGCATGGTGCTCCTCGGAGCAGCTTGCAGCCCTGCCCGGAGCTATTGTGCACCATGGCTTGGGAACATCTGAAGCGTAACTTAGAATGTGAAATAAACCTTGATACTGTCTCCCAGCTGTTTAGTCTTAAGCAAAGCAAATAAAATTTACTTAATTGGCTTCACTTTTGGGATGTTTTTTGGATTTATACTTGATTTGGAAAGTCTTAAGGACTGTGTATGCCCCCCGCAGAAAAAAAAGCCTGTTGTGCAGTCACAGGCTGAGCATTCCTGCAACAGGAACAGGGCCCCAGCCCTTCTTGTGAGGCACTGACAGCCCCTTTAACTTCGCCACATACAGAACTTCTGGCCAGTGACACATGCAGTGTTGTTCAGAGGGTCAAATCTCCTGTCACTCAAAGCCTTTCCTTGTTTCTAGGTTCTTAAAATAGTATCAATAATAATAGTATCAATAATAGTAAAATAGTATCAATAATAATAATATTATGGCAATATTATTATTGGTACTATTTAATAATATTATCTAATAATATTGCATGCTTCTTTTCATACAACACTGCCCTCAACTGTGAGCATATCTCTCTGTAAAAATGAAATTCTTATGTGCCCTGGCAACAATTGTGGGTTTCTATTTCGTTTTGGTCTTCTTCATGCCCCTTTACAACACTGCCCTTTGAAATACATTTTTTTTTTAAGTTCATTTTGTTTTGCATTTCAGTCAACAAAGCAGTGATCTTAAGATCTATTAATTCTAAAGTGCATAGTTCTTTTTTGGTACAACTTGCCTGAACATCTGTGCTCTGTGAGACAGACACAGCCCTGATCCCTTGGGGCTTGGGGAGTGAAACAGATGCAATAGGATCACATGCCAGTAAATCCTAATGGAGGGATTATGGCTCTTCCTTTTCATCAGGCAGCAGCAGTTGTCTAGTGAAGTGTTTTATGCATTTTGACTCGGTGCCTGGTGAGATATTAACAAATCAGTATATTCTAGTTGCCCTCTGGGTAGAGAGTCTCTTTTTGGAACTTTGTACCTCAAATACTAAAAAGGCAGCCAGTAGCTGTTGCTCTCCACTACAGTGCAAGACCTGAGTGATACCTCTTCCCTGCAGTCCAAGGCAGTGTGAACAACGTGCCAACATCTGCAGAAGAATATTTTGGTTGATCAGCATTTTTTCTTTTTTTGTTTGAAGGACAGCTGTTACAATACAGGGCCTTAAAGGTTTGTGAGTAGAAACAAACGTGTGTTCTCCACAGCCAAATAGCAGAACTGCAGTGTCAGTTGTATATTTCACTTACTAATGATCATTCCATTTTGGAAAAGAGAAATTCTAGCATTTCTGAAGGATTTGGCTTTATAAGAAGTCTTTTAGATACCTTTATGTCCTTGTGTTTTTATTGCAGGTTTGTCCTGGGTGGTTGGGAATGCTGAAGAGCTGCCCTTTGGTGATGAGAAGTTTGATGTTTACACAGTCTCTTTTGGAATCCGAAACCTAACACACATTGATTTGGTAAGTTGCTGTAGGGTATCCAGAGCATGAGGGTTTTACAACTCCTATGACTTTTCTATTTATTTATCCTAAGCGAGGAAGGAGTTTCTCCTTTGCATAAGGGAATATCTTTCTGTACTACTGAAACATCTAAATAAGTAGTAGGTAGTCTGCAGCTTGCTTGAGTAAAAAATGCAATTAAATGCCCCACCTTTGTCATAATAAAAAAGAAGTTAGATTTACGCTAGTTGTGTCCCGTCTTTCCAGCTTGACAAGCCACACAATTTCCTCCTGAGGCAAAAGAGCTGCGCACTGCAGTCACTACTCCCCTCCTGCTGCATCTACACATACTTTGTGCAGTCAGTCTGCAGGTCTCAAAGCCCGTGCCACCATTGAGCCCACTTCTGCTCGGTGCCCTTATGCTGATTTGTAGAGAGGATTTCCATGAAGAATCCTTACAGTTTTGATTTGGGTAGATGGTACCTTTGTCCTAACCAGTAGCTGCCCTTCCAGAATGACTGGATGTCTTTCATGTTAGCTCACCAGTCTAGCTAGGCTTGGTTTTATGTGTCTTGGAGGAGTGTCTTCCAACCTTGTTAGTGCTCTTAGGTTGAGGATGCAGCATTTGGACGGTCTGGGTCTGTGCATCTTTGAGCTCCTGTAAATTTGGAGGGGGTTCTGGGGTGCTTTGCCTGTATTTGTCCCAAGCGTGAGCTCTTGTACCTCTGATTTCCCTGCAGAGAGGGACAAGTTGGTGGCTCCCTGGGGGCCTCATATAGAAAACACCTCCAAGCCTCTGATTCTTTTCCAGAGTTCCAGCCACATGTGTATGTGTGCTTGGGTTTTACCCCTTGGGAACGTGACATTTGAAGCCAAACAGATGTACAGCTTGCAAAGGTTCTTAAAAACAGCTCTGCTGTGTTCTAATGTAAAAATATATAGATAGATAGATATAAACACATTTTCTCTTGTTTTAGAATAGCCAAAGATGTTTCTTCTCTCTCCCTCCCCCTTATTTTGCACGTAGCGCCTCCAAAACCCAGATACGTTCTTTCTGTAATTCGTTTGTGTATTTTGTAGTCGAACAGAATCTTGCCTTTTGATTAAAATATCGCATGACACTCTCGTTCTTCATTTTCGGTTTCTTGTAGCTGAGTCACCTCCTTTTCAGGTTTGGTTTCTACTTAAAATAGCTGGGCTGGCAAACATTCATCAACTGGGAAAAGAGAGGAAAAATTGCATCCCTGACATCATAATGTCAAAGCCTGGAGGAAATGTATTTATGTAACAACAAAAGCTTCTCCACAAGTAAATATTGGAGACTGCCTCTGAAATTGTCAGCATTCTCTCTCCTCCCCCTAATTCATCACTGAATTGCCTTCTCATGACATGATAATAGAAACAGATACTGCTCTACAGACTGAGTTCATCGAGTCTGCTTTGTCTCAGGCGCTTCAAGAGGCCTATCGTGTGCTGAAACCAGGAGGGAGATTTCTCTGCCTTGAATTTAGTCAAGTCACCAACCCTCTCCTTTCCAGGTAGGCACACGATGGCACCGTGTCATGTGACAAGACTGTTACACATGCACTGAGCCAGGACAAGCTTCAAAATCACCTCCGTGTGCACTTTTAAATCCAATTCGGACTCCATAGCGTTGTGGCACAGTGATGAACTTGGACTGTAATTGTTTTAATATTGTTTGTATTAATACGTGCTCATTGTGTGTCTGGGCAGGCTCTACGATCTATACAGTTTCCAGATTATCCCAGTTCTGGGTGAGATTATTGCTGGTGACTGGAAGTCCTACCAGTATCTTGTGGAGAGCATCCGGCGCTTCCCCCCTCAGGTAAGAGCGTTTTTCTGGAATCACACATACACGAAAGACAGTCCACACACAATGTTGCAGGCAGCTGTCTTACAGTCCTTCCAAGCTGCCATAATTCTGAATCCTTTCCTTTTCAGGAGGAGTTCAAGGAAATGATAGAAGATGCAGGCTTTTTAAAAGTGGATTATCAGAATTTGACATCAGGCATTGTTGCTATTCACTCTGGTTTCAAACTGTGAACCTGACTGTGAGCAAAACACAGGAACTCTTTTTTTCCTGAGGACTCTGAAAGATGTGCAATTTTAGCTTCATCAAGATAGAAGAAGCTCTTGGGAGAACTTTATTTTTTCTGACTGAAGAAATGATTCTTTATTTAGCTCAAAAGCTGGACTTTGGGTTGAAGAATTTAAACAACCGATTCTTGCTCAGCAGTCACATTCAGAAGGGCAGCTGCTTTCCCATCCCACTTCTGTCCAACCTGGGAATGAAGCGACTTCCATGGCCAGTTTCTTACACTTGCATTTCCCTTCAGGAGTGGTACAACAGGCACAGCCAAAACCGAGCAAAGCTCATGAACGTAGCAACTTCACTTACCAATTGTGTGGATACAGAAATAGACTTCCCAACAGTCTTCAGGCAAGATGTCTCTTTTACTTTCAAGGGTGTTTACTTTCAAGGGTGTTTTCATAGTGGTGCAAAATAACTTGGATTTATTAAATTTTTATTGATCTCAATGTCTTTGTCCTGCTGGCTTTAAGAGACTTCTGTGGTTCCTTCTTCATAAGGAAGCTTTGAACTGCTTTTTTCCACTTAAGTCAGTATTTTAACCTATTGAAGGGAAAAAAGGGAAGCTTTTCCTGAAGAATGACAGCATCTTACATTTTGATGTGATGTATTTTCCCCTATAAAGGGGAGCTGTAAGTGGAAGTATATTCTTTACTTAAATATACTGTGCATTTCTTTCCATGCTTAAACTTGTTCAAGCCCTGCTGTATCTGCCCTAGGCTACAGGCGTAGAGTATAAAACCTGCCACCTGTAGGCAAAATACCTTCAAGCTTCATCCTTTATCAAAGGCTGAGACAAAAGAAAGCTAGAATGTACACAAATATTTACGCTACAGAGCCAGTACAAGGGTGTTCTGAAAGTAGGGAGAGAGGGAGAAGACAACAACTGTCCCAAATAAATATTTTATCCCCTCCTTTATAAATCTAAAAGCAGCTGCTTTCCTGCAGGCTCTAGCTGAACTCCACCAATTGCACTGGAGGAGGTGTGTATTGAAATGCTTTATCAACACGTGGGAAGCGGCTGGGAAAAGATTCTCCTGTTGTTATTATTACAGTCCTGATTACATCCATGTATATTTAATTTGGGACTTGGATGCCATTTACTGGGGGGAGAGAAAGGGAGATATGTTCCTCCATTTGCAAGGGAGGAAGGGGGTACAAGCCCTAAGATGGCAGAAGAATAGATAATTTTTTATATAAATATATAAAAAAACCTTAAAGACTGCATTGCTCCAACATTTTTATTAGCAAAGAAGCTGTTTTTTTTTAAAAGAAAATAAATACAAGGAAGACCTTTTCACCTTTTTTTTTTTTTAAGCCACAATGAAAACGCCAACTGCTACAGAAAAATCCCTGACTCTTAACAACACAACAAAAGACCTGAAGATCAAGGTCTGCTTCCTCAGGAAGGCCGAAGGTAGCAGGCTGGAGTTAGTGTGCAGTCCAGATGCAAGTTTCAGGAACAGTCCGTGGTTCTAACCAGACTTAAAGAGAAGAATAGCGACTTGGCCGAGGTAGAAGTAGATGAAGTGCTTTGTCTCATGGGTCACGTAGCTTCCGAAGTTCCTTCCCACGATGCAGTGCCAAGTGGGGTTGTATTTCTTGTCAAACTCCTGCAGGAGAGAGCACTTGAGCAATTTAATATTACTGTAGTTCTCATGCAAATCTTGTCTGAAGATTTTCTGGCTGATGTGACTGATGTCACTTCTTAACAAGTTACCACTTTTTGAACAGGACAATTAAGCTGTACTTACTCTTAAGTACAAGGACTGGCTTACTTTTCTACCTCACCTGCTCAGTCAACAATTGAAAAAAAAAAAACACGTCATCATTGATGTCTTTTGTAGCTGAGTAGGAACAAACATAAAGTTTTACTTATGATTAAGTAAGGTCACTTTTCCTCAAAGATTATAATACCACGAGCTCAGACTCTTTTAACTAAAAGCTTCAGAGCTGCTTCTAGCTCAATACAAATAAAGCTCTTACTTTGACTTCATTATCTGTTTGCAGCAAACGTGTTGAAAGCATTTCACGAAAAATTCCCTGCCACATCCTTAGCAGGTAACAAGACCATGGTTTTCAGTCACCCTCAGGAGCCTGCTGCGAGTTTCACACAAACCCCCCTGCACAAGTGTTGTGCGAGCAGAGCCTGGCCCCAGTGGTTACATGCTGTAGCACTGAACAGTCCTCACATGAGGGCCCTTGTGCGAGAGGCTGCACGTGCTGCTGTTCATGCTCATGTGCTGTACAGTCTCTTGGCCAAACCGGCCAAGTATCTGCAGCTCCTCAGGACTCCTCAGCCTCCATGCAGCAGCCAGACAGTCTGACAGGCTCCAAGCTGGGAGCCATCTGTTCTGCACCAGCACAGACAGGACTCGCAGTGTGTGGGAGGAAACCTCCCCACACAGACTTATTTCTGTATCGCAGGAACAGCGGAGCGGCACCTCCCCAAAGGAGGCAATTATCGTTCAGTTATCCTTAAGACTGAATTCAAAACATTTAAGGTCTTCTCGAAAGGAAGGCTGCACCGGGTGATGGTACAGAGTAAGAGACGTAGAAGAAATGGAAAAATAGTGACAAAAAAGGGGAAAGTGGAAGAAAAGTGCATGTCACAGATGGGGAGAGGAACGTAAGAAGCAGCCCGCAGAAAGACCAACTTGATTATCTAGCATCTCCACTGCTTGTCTCTCTAGAGTTACTTGCCCTGTAACATTCACCCTGCTGGATTCTTTTCTACTGATGCACAGGGGCATCTCATGGGGAAAAAAAAAAAAAACCCAAAGTCTGAAGCAGCCACTTGCCTTCTTTATGTGCGCGGCGATGTCCTTCTCGATGTTGTACTTCTCGAGGGCCTGCGTGGCGCACTCCACCGAGTCCTGCTGCATCTCCTCCGACATGTCCGCGTTCTTGATCACGGCCTTGCGGTCACTCATGGCTACCTGCGCGGGGCAAAGGGGGCACCTCAGGGCGCCGAGCCGCGCTCCACGCACCCGCCCCCTGTGCTGCTGCGGGGCTCGGCGGCAGCGGCCGCAGCCCCGAGCGGCCGCCCGGTCCCGGTCCCGGTCCCGGTCCCCCTCGCGGCCCCGCGCCCCTCACCGTCCACCGGGCGCTGCGCACTGAACGTCGCGCTCCCGCTCCTGCCTACGAGCACTCCCAGACCCGCCCCTCTCGCTCCCTCCGCCAACCACTGCTCATCGCCGCCCCCGTTCCGAGCGCTCATTGGTCGCTTCCCAGGACCCTCATAGCGTTTTACCCCGGCGTTTTCTTGCAGCCCGGCATGCATTGCGCTGGCGCCGTCGCCATAGCGACGGGATGTGGCGGGCAGCGGCCTTGCGGCGTCATCGATGTCAGCGGCTGTCCCGGTGTTGACGCGTGGCGGTTACGGGCTTCACGGACCGGGATGCTCCATGGGATGCTCCGCTCTCCCGGTTTCGCTCTCCCTGGGGCACTTGCTGCTTCATTTCCCAGTAGCTGCTCAAAAATTGCTGTGGAGTTTTCCACAGGTGGGATCTGTGAGTAACAAAACCCTGCACCTTGTCTTACAGCAGCTAGTGCAGGGTGGCTTGAAAAGGGTTTTAAAGTATTGGTCTGTCTGTGTGGAATTCCCCTGTGGAAATAAAACACTCACAAGTAATCATGTGCCGCACTTGACATGCAAGTATTTTTATATTAGTGATCTAGTTACCTGCTCTGTGTCACTCACAGCATAAGTGCAAGCAGCCTTTGGCTTCTGCAAGCTCTGAGGCACCCTCTGCACAACACACTCCCCCCTAAAAAAATAACCTCACTCTAGACTGTCTCAGAAACGAGCTCTGCCTTCACCTCCCAGGTTTTAGCATTACAAGTCAAGGAGATGCGACTCACAGCTTTATTTCCTACCTCACCCCCAGTAGTGTGGGTTAGGGAGAACTCGGAAAGTTGGGACACTAAAACAACTACCGAGTTTAACGCAGATGAATGAAGGGTCAAGTAACTTGAGGAAGTTCCGTGGCAGCCTTGGGGCCGCAACGAATTCGCAGGCCTGGATGTGCAATCTGCAGCAGTAGCATGGATTACGGGACAGCTTTGCACTGGCAAAAGTGAGATTGCTGCTTAGCAATCTTCCCAGCACTCCCAATGAACTTTAGAAACACCCATGAATCGCTGAGGAGGTGGCTGTGTTTGGTAGCTGCAGGCAAATCACAATGCATTTATTAAAAGCGGGTTAGCTGAACAAACAGATTTTATGATGACTGCAGGAAATGTCAGTGTGGGTGAGATACAAGGCTTTAAAGGGGAACATTAAAGCCTTACTTGTTGATCAAGAACATACAAGTGTAATTCCCCTCAGGACAGAGCTGCAGGGAAAGGCAGAACAAATACGGGAGATGATAGCTGGGGTAGGGGAGATGCTGGAGAAGATTGGATCCTGACCAGATGTATCATGAGACTCATAATGGAACCGTAAAGCCCCACAAAGGGCTTGTCTTTTGTGCTAGGTGAATACTGTACAGCTGTGTCTAACACAGGATTTTTTCCAGGTACTATCAAAAGATAAAATAATCATTGGTAATAAAGCAACTTCCTTTTTTTTTTTTTAATCTCTAAATGAAGTTTTCCCCTGTAAAGCTGGACTCTATATACGCTAGGGCATCTAAGCAAATGCCCTATGTATCTGTGTCAGTGGGAACTGTCAGCAGGCAGAAGGGAAGCTGTCCCCGCGGTCTCCAGGGGAACTGCACACACTTACGTAATGCCAGAATCCCATTTTTTTTTAGCAAATTACAGATTCTTTTTTCTTTTATTAGAACTCCTAATTGCCAAGAAAAGATGAGTTGTTTCACAAATATACATTGTTTGCCTTGGAGGAGGAATTTGCAAGTAGTGGACAGGAGGAATTTGCAAGTAGTCTTTTTTTCCCCTTGCTAAAATGAGCATGTATGGTTTTGAGCATGCACAAGGGTCACATTGTTGGTTTTCTTATGCAGCTCTTTAGCTATATTTGCTTGTGTGCCCGGGTTTCTAAGTCACAGAGCAGCAGAGCACTGTAAAGATCACAGTTTTCAAGCCATTTGTGAGCGTGTTAGACACGCACTGCGGTGGCCTGGAGCCTCATGTAGCGCCCTGCCCCAAGCAGTCTGTCTAGTCTTTCCCAAGGAGATTTACTTGGGGGTTTGCAGGTGTCTGAGTCAGCGCTGTAATTCAGTGGCAAAGCTGCAGCAAAACCCTTCATTAAGAAAATGTGTGTTTTTAATTCGCTTAGCGCGGCTCAGCCTGCGGGGAAGAAGCGTTAAGGGGATGGCAGCAGCAGCTCCCTCGCGCTCCGGCAACGCGGGATCATCGCTGAGCAAACTGCTGGCCTGCCTGTTGTTTACATAGTTCCCTGATGACACCCTGGGCTTGCAGGCACTGCAGTGCAAAGTCAAATTCCTCTTGCTTTTTGTGTAAATAACACCATAGTTCTCTCTGATCATTAAAGAAGGGCAAAATGGATAGAAGTGAGGGGGATTTCTCACACTGGGAAGGCTCTGCTAGCGTGTTTGCCACAGGATGTGGCTTGCCGACGTGGAGTTTTCCCTTGCTGCGCTTTATACGTGAATCCTAAGTGTCTGTCAAGCAAGGCTTGTGTATTTGTAAAAGATTGTGAATTTTTGAGAAGCCTGAGACTTAAAGAGTAATACTGTGTTATAACTTCACAGGATTTGGATTGCTAGGATTAAATACAGAGTCTGATTCAACACCCTTCAAAGAGGCCCTGTGTTGTAGGCACATCTCATTGATGAATAACAGCAAAGGCAGCTGAGGCCCTTTTCACTCAGCCCAGGTTTTCCATGAAACAAGCGGTGCATAAGGTGCTTAACGAGGGAGCTTTTCAAGGTAGTTTGTGCACACAGAGCATTATGAGCAAGCCACTAATGGCTGGACCCAAAACTGTTACTCCTGACACTCTTCAAGCATTTATTTTCAGTGCTTTTCAAATTATGCTACTTCTAATACACTTGGTGGCCTTCTGAGATGTTAGCCTCTAATTTGCAGGACCTGCTGTTTGCAGAGATGTGGAATTTTATGGGAGAAATAGTTAGGATTATGGCCTTGCTTGGGACTTCCTCTGTCAGGCTCAGCGATGACCTTTCTTTATAAAGACACAGAACACATACAATGTGTTCTGTCAGCGATGACCTTTCTTTATAAAGACACAGAACACATACAATGCTCTGTAAAGTGGATGACATCAAGCTCCAAGCTCATGAGGTGAGTTTCTGCCTTCCGGGGCACCATGGGTGCATGTCCTGTCACGGAGGAGCCCTGCTCGCAAGAGCCATAAAAGCAGAATCTCAGAGCTGGTAATTAGTAGTATCCCATTACATTAAGAGAAGGATCTATTCCTGTATTTCTAAAGAAAATTCCATTGTGACTCATGATTGCTTCCAGTGCATGAAGTTATTATTAGAATAAATAATTCTGATTTTTCAAATATAAGTTTGGAGGAGACATGGACCAGGAAGAAAAGTCTATTTGTCACAGAGGTTTACTGTACTTTCTATAGCCTGGAAGCAGGTCTGGACAGCTCCTCCTGTGGCTTGCTGCATTGTTCTCTTTCCAGCAGGTTTCTCTCAGGGAACTTTGGCTCCTTGTGCCTCCAGCTGATGGAGATTCCATGAGCCAACCTCAGGATGGTCACAGTGCCCGTCGCTTTGTGTGCCGTAGCAGTGCTTCCCATTTTCCCAGCACAGAACCTCTTCCTGTGGCGCCCTCGCCTCTGAGCTGGTAAGCCATGTGGTTTGTTCCCTTTTTGTTCTCCGTTATTCTTGGAGCTGCGCTGCCTCCTTGCATCCATCTTCTTACTGCAGCTGAGCTTTCCCTGCCAAACACCCTGCCTGGGAGCCGAACGCTGAACACGCTTGCTTGGGAGTTTCCTTACAGAACTGGAGCTACCTCTGGCAGGTAACAGTTGCTGCGAGTTTGGCCTCTCCTTGGCGTGAAGGATGGCTCTAATTTTTTGTAGCTACTCGCCACCAGTGGCAAAAGGCCTAATGGCCAGACTCCATCCCTCAGCCCTCTGGCTAGGCTGACATCATAGCAGCTTCCAGTTTTGATAGAGCATATCAAGAGAAAGTTCTCATTTTCCTCTCTGGCACTTGCTCAGGTAGGTGTTTGCTGACAAGATACTTCTCAATATTACTTGGCAAATGTTTTATAAAGTCCCTCTCTGCAGACATTGAATGCCAGAATGCGCAACTGCCACCTTTATAGCAAACTCGGGCTGATTTTTATGCTCTAGGCTCCAGTTGGTCATACCTCATTTGTGTGGGCAGAAAGCTGCTGGTATGGATATAATGCAAATATTTGGGTTTTATTCTTTGTTTGTCAAGAAAATGAAACAGTGTTTGGAGTTTTATTTTAATAAATCACGCTTAATATTTTGCAGCAGGAAAGTACAAAATTTAGTGGTCCATGTGTTCTTCTTTTGAACAAAATATTCACTGTGGTTTTTCAGCTATGGTTGCACAAACCTTTATTTTCCAAAATAGAACATTGAAAATGACATTTTGGCCTTTGGCTTTCATTAAGATTGCTGCTCAAAAGTCTCGCTCTCTCCTAACTTTGGTAAAGGGATGTTACCTGATAGGAAACAAGAAAAAATAATAGTGTGAGATCAGCTGTAGGTTCCTTTCTGGGCAGTACAGCCTAACATGGTTTATTCTGAATAGATAAGGGACAACTTGCACGCCCTCAGCAAGTATGTTTTACGTGACTTCTGTAAATTATCTTTTCAAATAGCTCAACCTGTTTGCTATTTTTAGAGTGAGAATAACTTCTCTTTTCCTTTGGGACAAATATAATTAAGTTTATCTTCACAGATGGCCACAGGTATTATTTCCTTATTTTAATACATCCTTGTTACTGCCAAATATTTCTGAGAATGAACTTATGTGGCGGGACACATTGCTCAGGTTAAATCAAGCAAAATTAAGAGTTTTTTTTTTTAATAAACAGAACAGTACCTGGTGGGGCTACAAAATATTCCTCTACTTTCTCTCTGGCATTTTTCAGCAGCTCTTTCGCGCAGTTGCCTTCGGTAACGTCATCTTCTCTGAGATACAGACACCTGAAGAACAGAGAGTAGTGGCCTCTCTTTAAACCATGTCTACAAAGCACAGAGGCTGCTGTGGAGGATGCACCCGAGCACCACGGATTTGTTTCTTACATCTCACTGTTTTACATCTCACACCTCTATTCAATAAGCTGCTGACATGTTAAGAAGTTCTTCCCTGAGGACCACTGGCAAATGAGAGATCAGCCCCAGCCCTGTTCCTGTTCAACGCTTAGTCTGTCAGGCCTTGAAGGCACCCACACAGTCACTGCAACTAGAGTGAAACCCTGAAAAACGCCCCATGCCCCTCGACGCGGGGGTAGCTTTAACGTGGAGCTGCTCCCGCCAAGACCAGGGTGTCTGAAGATGCTGTGTGTGGGACTGCTGGTGACAAGACCTGATGTCAAGCTGAGCTAACCAAGCCCTGTGCAAGGCGCGGAGGGTCCCCAAAGCTGTTTCCAGCACCAGACCGGCAGCACGGCAAGTCCTTGGATGCGCTGAGGCAACTCCAAAAGCCGGGCATTTGGGGAAGAGCATGTGCAGCTCCTTCGTGACGAGCAGCAAGATGCGCTACGGAATTGGAGCGCGTCCTGGCCACGCTAACACGGTAACCTTGCTAGGTTAGGGCTAGGGAGCTAGTCTGACGTTTTCTTCCATGTGTCACCTCAGTAAAGCCCATCTGTAAGTAAAGGGGGCAAACGCAGAAACGAGTATTTCTGGGAGCAGGTTTTCCCAAGCAAATTGGGGAGCGGATGGTTACGCGCAGGCCGGTGCCAGCGGTTCCCCACCTGTCCTCGAGCACGGAGTCCATGGGCTCCACTCCCTCGGTGTCCACGCGGTGCAGCTGCTGCGCGAAGCGCACGGCCGCGCGCAGCCGCCGCGCGCCCTCCGCGTCGCGCACGTCCACGAGCGCCAGGCGCTCCAGGTGCTCCAGCACGGCCGCCGGCACCGGCTCCTGCTCCTGCTCCTGCGGGAGGGACACGCACCTCGCGCGGGCCCTGCGGGCCGGGACGCGCCGCGACCCGCGTGGGCTGGGGCCGTCGCCAGGGCCACGGCTGTGCAACGGGCTTTTCCACGCGCCTCTGCTGTGCCACGGGGTGGGCTTTTATTAATTATTTTGGAAATAAGCGGGTTTGGGTCTGCGGGAACATCTGGCTTTCGTTTAGTGCTTGCTCTTTTGGATGGAGCCACGGACCGCAGGGGAAACCGATTCCAATGGGATACATCCTTCCTCCCACTCCCACTCCACTCCTCCTTCTCTCCCCCCCGCCCCCTTCGGCCCCTGGCACCTCGCGGCCGCTTCGCGCAGGGCAGTTTGAGCCTCGCGGGCCGCCGTACCTGCGGGGGCCGCCGCCCGTCCCGCGCGGCGCGCAGCCCCGCCCGCAGCGCGCGCACCACCCGCATCGCCGCCGGAAGCGCCCGCGTCCCGCCCCGCCCCGCCCCCGGCGGCGGCGCTTCCGGCGCGCGCGGGAAGCGCGTCACGGCGGGGCCGCCGCCATGAACAGCGTGGGCGAGGCGTGCACGGAGCTGAAGCGCGAGTACGACCAGTGCTTCAACCGCTGGTTCGCCGAGACCTTCCTGAAGGGCGAGCGCGGCGCGGACCCCTGCGGGCAGCTCTTCCGCCGCTACCAGCTCTGCGTGCAGGTGCGCCGGGCCCGCGCCGCCCCGCCCCGCCGCGCGCGGGGCCCTCCCCGGCGGCCCGCGGGCACCAAACGCCCGCGTTCCCCCCCGTTCGAGCGTGTCGCTGTGTTCTCCTTGGCAGAAGGCGATCAAGGAGAAGGACATCCCCATCGAGGGCCTGGAGTTCATGGGCCCCAGCAAGGGCAAAGCGGAGAGCTCCTCCTGACGCGGCGGCGAAGGGGCCTCGCCCGGGAAGCACGTGCAGCCCGCTGCGTGTAGGGGACAGAAACAAGGAAAAGGGGAAAAAAAAAAAAAAAAGGAAAAAAGAAAGGATCATGTGGTGATTGCTCCCCTTTTTGCAATGAACATCGGTGGTGGTTCAGGCTCTGACAATGGGGAAACTCTTTTTAACTGACTTCCTATGGGAACGTGCTCTGGGATGGGAGACACTGATGAGGATGGCTGAGTTGTTGGTTGATCCGTAGCTGATTTTCTCTTGCTCGTTCATGTACTGCTTGAGAGGGTTTAAAAGGTGTGTGAAGGGGATTGATTGGGTTACTCTGTCTCACCTCTGCTGCTGAATTTTGGAGGAGTTTGATAATTCTGAACACTGAGGGCCTCTCACATAGTTCTGTGTCAGTGCCAGAGGTATTAACAAAAGCACTTGCACTTATGCTGATCGTGCAATAACTTTGCTAAAATAAATATAACCGGCCTGTACTTTGTCCTGGTCCAAGTTGTACAACAGAACCTCTAAGAGGGGCAGGGGGAACCTGCAAGAGAAGCCGAGGGAGGAGTGTCCTCCCGAGCCTTTTCCACGGGACTGAGACAATCTGCAGCTTGAGCTCTCTCTTCTTTAGTGTTGTCTATCCCTGCAGTAAAACAGGGCAGACCTGGTTGAGGTCCGACATCCTCTTCCACACAGCACCACACAGCACCGTGCTGGCCGCAGAGGCGGGTGGAAGTGACACTGACCGAGGGCAGAACCTGCGGCAACAACAGGCGACGTTGCCCTGTAGTGACAGGGACTGCGCAGAGGGTGAGACAGGCGGTGAACTCGTCGGGTGTCCCAGCTGAACGTGGCCTTGCTGCATTAACTCCTTTGTGCAACCTGATGATGACGCTGGCTTGCGGGATTCCTAAACTGATGGTGTGAAATCCTCCTCTTTTGAATGGCAGGAGAAGGGCTAAGGGGGCTTCTCCCAAATAAAAACGGACGGTTCCTGGTGATAAGTATTGCCTTATGTGATTATAGAATGCTTAAGGTTGGAAGAGACCTCTAGAGGTCATGTAGTCCAACCCCCCTCACACACAGGGTTGAAGACATCATTAGGAATGAAGACATCATTAGGAATTACCCTGTTCTCTCCCAAGATATTCAGTGTCAGAGCTTTGTTGTTGCAGGAACTAGGAAAAATGTGTTTTGCAAGAGGAGGAGGGGGTCTTTGGAAGAGGTGTGGGCTCCTCCGTGGACCCTCAGAGCCTTGTGGCTGGGCAGTCTCCACTGAACCTCAGACAGGGATGGGCTAAAACTGACCGCTCTTAGCACATTAGTACAGGTGAAATTAAAAAAAAAAATCTATCTGGGCTGAGGATAAAAGAGAGATCAGCTTTCTAATTCTCTTGGAGAGAAAAAAAAAATCACTGAGCAGTCCGCTCGGTGGTGCGATTCAGCCGTGCTCCCCTCTCAGGTGCATCGATCAGGTTGCTCAGCAGGCAGAACAGTGATTAAATGTAGACCTCAACAGCCTGTTCTGTAACATCTAAAACCTGCCGTGTCATTCGCATATGAATAAAATTATTCTTCTCTAGACAAGTGCTGGGAAATATTCTAGGAACACATTCTATTCTATTAAATATTCTACATTATTCTGTATTCTAAATAGGGTGTTGGGGACTATCAAGCAAGAAACTCCTTTTTTTAAAGGAACAACATATGTGCTTCATTTTACTATAACCATTTCTATATAGGAATAACTGTGGTGTTACTGGGCACTTTTGTACAGCTAAACCACTGCTTTATGAAGAGCAGAGCTGTAACTTACCTGCACTGTTTGTAGTTTACTAGCTGAAGACTAACATTGTGACATGCACGGAACTCAATGTCACACCTTGATTGCTGCCACCTTCTGTCTCAGCATAGGCTGGGCGAGACACATCAATACTGATGCCAGTATTAATAATATTTGCTTACTGTAATAGCTGATTACACGTGTGCTTCAGTATACACTGAGTTTTAATCTAGAATACTAGCCTAAAAACTGATCATTTGAATGTGAGCTGTGTGTCTGACAATCAGACCACATATCAAGTGTTGTTCACTTACATATTCAGGATGAACATGTCACGGATGTCGGCGTTATCAGGTACAGCAGCAACTGTGACTGACGTTGGGTCACTCAGACCCCTTTGTTACTGCTGCCTGAGGGGAAGTCTCACCCTTTTAAGCAGAATAAACTTATATGGCTTCTTAGGCTAACAAAAACAAAGTCAGATTCGGATTAAGTTAGGAGATTTTATTTGAAGGACCTCTATACAAATACATAACAGGTCGCAAAACCATTCAACGTGATAGTAGAAGGAAAACAGAATTTCTTAAATGATGGTTTCCAGAGAGCGCTCCAAACGCAGGAAGAGCCAAAGTTTGAGCTCTGGTCAAGATCTTAGTTTTCATCTTCGTAACCAGTTGGGAGGGCATTAACATGGGGATTGTGGAAAAGAGTTTTGTTCCCGTCACCCCAGGGAAAAGGCTGTTGAAAGAAGAAAGAAAATAAGAGTGACAGCTCATGGGAAGATCTGCTACAGCTCCGGGAATTTAATCTTGCAACGGGAAGCAGATTTGGACATCAGACGGATGGGGAGGCTGCTGAATTAAGCAAGCTAATAACTGCTCTCCAGGTGGTACAGTGCAAGAGGCAGAACATGGTGTTAGCTGGAAATGGTTAGGTAGGTGGTAAAATCGGTGGCTGGATATCAGAGATCAGTAGGGTCAGGCTTGTTTTGAGAAGCCGGGATCAGCCCTGCCAGCCTTTACGTCTGTATTAAGGTAAGTAAAGCAGCTCCGCACCAGGGGCATTTTCAGCAGCGCGTTAGCAGAAAACGGGGGAAGCAAAAGGCTAGTTCCCATCTGCAAAGGGTCCTTCGGCTCAGCAGCCGGACCCCAGTGCCGTGGCGGGGGTGAAGCGATGGTGATGGTCGGGTTGCGGGGCCCGCGCGCCGCGCGTACCTTGGTTCGGATGCGCAGGTGGGCGTACGGGACGAACTCGGGCCGCTGGTGCTCGTGCTGCCCTTTCAGGTAGCAGTTGAGCATGCACACGCCGACGCCGGGAAGGGCGACCACGAAGGTCAGGAGCCTCCAGAGCCGCGCTGCGGGCGGGACGCGCCGCGTCACCGGGAGCAGCACCGCGGGGGCCGCCGCCAACCTCCCCGGGCCTCCCCCGCCCGCCGCAGAGGGCGTCCCCGCCAAGGGCACCGCGGCC